ATTGAGTTTTCATCTGTTTCTTCTTGCTTCTTGCAGAGGTTGTCGATTTTTTTCTCCATGCAGCTTATGCACTCTAGGACCCTTATTCTGAATTCTTTTTCTGTCATGTTGCATGCCTCTGTATTACTTAGCTGCTTTTCTGGAGAGTCCTCCTTCTATTTCATTTGGGGGTTTCTTTGTCTACCCATGTTTGATCTCACTGACATATCTAGATGTTGAGTCATTCAGTGGATGCTCCCTGGGTGGCAGTGACTCCTTGGTCTGTGGTTGCTCTTCGGGCGGTTGAGGTAGCAGCTGCTCTTCAGTTGGCAGCAGCTCCTCTGGTGGGTGCTCTTCACAGCTGTGGTGGCTCTTCTGGCTGGTGGGGCGAGGTTTCACATACAGCTGCTGTTTCTCATCAGAGGGTGTGGTGCTCAGGAGGCTGCTGTTGCTTGGATCAGCTGTGTTGATTTTAAGGCACAAAATACAACACAACAAGGCACCGCGTACCAGGCACTAAACACAAATACATTCACGATATTAATAACCCCAAATATAGGTGACCGCCCGAATTAAGAGAATTAGGTGATAAGGAAGAAGGAAGATAAAAGAGAAAAAAGAAAAGAAAAGTAGGGGCCAAAAAAAGGAGTTCAAAAATGAAATTGGGAAAAAGGAGGGGAGAAAATAAAAGCGAGAAAAGAAAAGAAAAAAAAGAGCGAAAAGAGAGAATGAAGTGGAAGAGGGGAAGAGACTTTTTATATGAGGAAAATACTCCTATAGAACTGCCACTAATCCCGACAAATTCCAGCAACAGCTCCCTGGAGATGGATGCAAACTAGAAACAACCAATAATATAACGATGAAAATAGAATGGAGAACACTAATCCCAAAATAAAATAAAGAGAAAATAAAATGGCACTTTAAAAAATGGTAAAATGGTAGCAGTAATAATACTGGTTAAAAATAAGAAGATAGTAATTAAAAGGGTAAAATCAGGTGATGGAAAAAGAAGAAGAAAGAAAGAAAAAAAAAAGAAAAAAGAAAAAAATAAGAAAAAGAAAGGGAAAAAAATTGTTTTCTTAGTTAAAAGGTGAAAAAAGAAAAAAAAATTGCAGTAGTGAAGGTCCTTCGGTTCTTCTATTCTTCAGTCTGGCTCGCCTTTAGTCCTGCCAGGTATTCAGGAGAGTGTTGAGTTTCCCTGTGATACACTGTTCCTCTGTGTTGTAAACCACAGTCCTTATTTTAAAGCAGGCCATATTTGTTTCCCTGACTGCCTTATTTTGTGTTTAGCAAAGAGTCAGTTTGTGGCTCAGCCTCTGGGTGGCAGTGTTCTGGGGTTGGCCTCTGAGGCTATATGGCATCTCTATCGCACTTAAAAGTGATTTGGAGAGGTCAACTATGCAGAGCTGGTTCCTTTTAGTTACTAGCTCTGTGTTGTTGCTGGGATTGAAAATCCCTCTATAGGCCAGACCCTGTTAACTCCCAGGGACTGATCAGATTATTTTAATCCTTGATCTCCTACAGGGTGGAATCTGGGTGTGGCTGTGCTCCTTGCCTGGGGGCTGGGGGGAGGAGTCTCACTCTCCAGAGAGAATGGCTGCCCCAGTCCTGGGCTCAGGGGTGTCTCAGCACTCAATTCGCTTCCACCTCTCCCGGCCCCCCTTCTCTCCTCAGTCTCTCCCCAGATTCCACTCCTCCGCACCCTCTCCCTCTCTTCAGCACAGGTGAGTGTCTATATCCGAAATCTCCCATGAACAGGATTCAGTGAGAACAAACAAACAAACGCCGGCCACGAAGACGGGGAAGGCTTGGTTCCTGTAAGCTCTTCTCTTACCGGCACTGCATGGTCTGGTCAGCTCTTCAGGCTGCCCCCTTTAGGCTCAGTCCTCTGTGATCACAGAACCCAGGTCTCAATTCCCCTGGCATTGCCAGGAATCCCGCAGATCTCCTTTCCCCAGTCAGGGGCTGTGCCTGTCCCAAGGGACGCGGCTATCTGCCACGTGGTCTCCCTCCCACCCTCTGGGCTCAGAGGTCTGGCAAACTTTCCTGCCCATTCCCTGTTTTTGTTTTGTTTTGTTTTGTTTTGTTTTGTTTTTACCTTTCCAGGGGAGTTCTGCCCTTCCCGGCTGCAAACCATCTCACCAGCTGAGCATTTTCACCAATTCGGGGTGGGTGTTTTTAGTTTCAGCTGCTCACTCCATTTGCTCTGCGACACGACTTGGGATGCGTCTGCCTATATCTCCGCCATCTCCTCTCCTCATCAAGACCCCCTTTAAATAGACGCAGCCAATCACATCAGTTTCAAATTCCCCACTGCAGTGCTCCCTCCCGGCGGTGGATGAAGCCTCAGAATCCTTCTCAGCACAGTGCTGCCGCAGCCATCGGCATTGGCAGGCACGCAGGAATAGTAAACATATTTTAGAATGGTATTTAAAGATAGTACCGATTGCCTCATGTACATCACAGCCAATTTCCACTATTATTAACATTTTACTTTTTAAAAAAATCTTCATTGTTGAGAGTATTACAGATGTCCCCCTTCCCTCCCATTGCTCCCCTTCACCTGGTTCTCGTCTCACCCCAGGCCTTCACCACTGTACTGTCTGTGCCCATAGGTGTGGGAAACTGTTTATTGCCTTCACTATCTGATAAGCATAGACAGAGAACTCCCCGAAACCTCCCGAAGGCTGGGTGCCTTTGAAGCCCTAGCAAAGCTCGGAGCTAGGCGCCACCTCTGTTTGTCCAGACAGTGGTAGCTGAAACTGCTCCCCCATTTATTATTATGTAAATCCTTGCTGATGGGCTAGTCTGCCTGTTAATGGCAGGTCGCCTGCCTAAGGGCTACTCCGGATCAATAAAAGATTGGAGCAGCCTGAGCACAGGGGAAGTCCTTCAGGACTTGCCGCCTGGTCCCCCAATATTGCAAAATTATCTCGTGTCTTTTTCTCTCATTTGTTGTGCGGCTCCTCTTTCAGCTACCGAACCCTACTCCACGCAGAACGTGGAGGGAGTCTTACTCAACACATAGGTAAGACCTTTGGTTAATCTCTTCCCGCCCTCCGCCCTCCTTAGTATGGTACACTTTTTACAATTATTGCACAAGTAATGATACATTATTATTAACTAAAATCTATAGGTTACTCAGGTTTTCTGATATTTTACATAACATGTTTTCCTGTTCCAGGAGTCCACGTAGAATCTTACATTATATTTAGTCTACAATTATCCTTAAGCTCCTATAGCTGTGACAATTTCTCAGACTTTTCTTGTTGACGTTGTTGTTATTTTAATGCATCTTTATTTTTGAACATATTACAGATGGCCCTCTTTTTCCCCGTTGACCCCCTCACCCTACACCTCCCCCCATCAGGCCTTCACCACACTATTGTCTGTGTCCATAGGTTATACATGTATGCATATAAATAATTTGGCTAATCTCCTCCCATCCAACCACCCCAGACCGCCAACTTCCCTCTGGGATACGTCAGCCTGTTCCATGCTTCTATGCCTCTGGATCTATTTTGTTCATGAGTTTATTTTGTTCATTAGATTCCACATATGAGTGAGATCATGTGACACTTGTCTTTCTCTGGATTGACTTATTTTGGCTAGCTTAATATTCTCAGACTTTCCCTGTTTTTGATGACTGTTATAGTTTTAAGTAGTAATGATCATGTCTTTTTTATTTCATTTTTTTATATTCATCAATGAGTGTGTGAATTGGTCTCTCATTTTTTTAGAATGTCCCCTAATTGGGATTTGTCATGTGCTTTAGGGAGGCAGACCATAGTGATAAATGTGTCATTATCCTCACATTATATTGTGCAGGTAATACTATCAGCACGACTATCACTGTTGATATTGACCTTAACAAGCTGGCTGAGATAGTGTTTGTAAGATTCTTCCACTATAAAGTGACTCTTTTTCCCCCTTTCAATATTGTACTTTTTGGAAAAAAAGTCATTATGTGCAGTTCACACTTAAACAGTGGAGAGTTTTATTCCCTCTCCTTGAGGACTGAGTATCTACCTAAATTAAACTCTCCTGTGTTGAGAGCCATTAGAGATATTGGCTTAGACAAAGCCATCTTAAGAACTATAAGTTTCTGGTTCCTCCAGAAACTCCTAATTACCAGAAACCACCTGTGTCTTGCAATTTGGCCAGCAGTTAAAAGATAACCTACCCTCACCCTAAGTACACAGCTGCTAAATCTCTGCTGACAAGCACACATCTCCACTGATAAGCACAGCCATCCCGAGCCTAATAAATCTCTAGTAATAGGTTACTACCCATAGGCCCCTTTACCCACCCCCCGTCCCTAAAACAATATATATCCTGCTGCTGTAAGAATAAAATTTGAGGCTTGATCAGAACACTGTCTTGCCTCCATTCTTTCGTGTCCCTTGTTTGTCTCATTCTCCTAGGGTGTCTCTTCGTTCCTCAGTTGTTGTCCCGCGGATCGGGACAGTCTGGCGCCCAACGTGGCGGCTTGGGGACCCCCTACGAGAACGTCTGCTTGAAGCGCCTGGCCAGGCACCCCTTAGAGTCGCCGCGCAGTATTGACTCGTGAGTGAAGACTCGGCATCGTGATCGCCACGGTTTTGCCCACCCGTGAGACAGATCGTTGTGAAGCTAAGCAGACGAAACTTTTCAAACAAGAATTTCAAAATACCTCTTGAGAGCCTTCACCCTCTTTGGCACCCCCTTTGGCTGGCCTTTTTAGTTTTCTTGATCTCCCTCCAGTCCACTAATAAGCACTTCACCTCGCCGTTCGGGGAAGAGTGAAGGGTACCCGAAACCGGCAGTGAAAACTCTGAATCACTCGGAAGAGTAATTTTTCTCTGGCCCAACCTGTGTCACCCTCTCTGGCAAACTCTGAGCTCGCTAAGTCTTAGTGGTTGCCATCCTGGTATGGGGCTTATACATCCCGACCTATGACACGCGAGCAGAGGCCGTAAGGTAAAAAGAGAGCGGTTACATAAGGATCACCAGTGATTTAAGAAATTCCGAGCTGACCTGGCATGGGGTTTATACGTCCCAGAGGCTTACGTGGAGGAGGAAATCTTGAGAACTACCCAGCCAAAATAATGGGCAACTCATTGAACTCTCATGAGGTATTTCTAGATGGGCTCAAGGAGTCCCTCAGGACATGGGGAGTAAGGGTTAAGAAAAAGGATCTTAGACAATTCTTCTCCTTTATTCATGAGACCTGCCCATGGTTCCCCCCAGAGGGCACTATTGACCATAGACGATGGAAAAGAGTAGGCGATGCCCTTCAGGATTTCTATCAAACCTTTGGCCCTGAAAAGATCCCTGTCTCCACCTTCTTGTATTGGAATCTTATCCAGGATATCCTTAAAGTCCACCCTAAAGACCCTGACATCCAAGACATAATAAAAACAGCGGAAACAGCCCTTAGGGATAGCTCCCGGCCACCCTCTGCCTGCCCTTCGGTATCTGTTGATATCCCTGAGGAGCCCATGGCACTCTCCAAAGAAATCACTAAATCTAAGCCTGACAAAAAATCTCCAGACATCTGTAATAAACCTGAACCCCCTCCCCCTAAAATCTCAAATATCTATCCTTCCCTCACCTCCCGAAGACATCTGGAGGACCACCTGTCTCCGGAGGATGAGGAAACCTTAGAAAATCAGGCCGCCCATTATCACAATGATAAAGACCCCTGGCGCTTTACAGCGCCGGCCTTTCATAGCACCTCTAGTAAATCCTTTAGGCCCCCTCCTTACAACCTCGACCCCTCACTAAACATCCCTATCTTTCGAATTCCAGCCCTGGAACCATTCCGCGGCCCCCCTCCCTCCCCCGATCCTATCCGGCAAGCTAAAATCTCCCTAACCCAAGAAATTTCTTCACTAAAGGAAATTCTACAGCAAAAACACGAACACGTCCAAGTTGTCAAAGAAATCCAAGCCCTCGAGGCTGAACTCACATCCCTAAGCCCCAACCAACCCACCCAGCCTCCTAAAAAAACCACAAAAAATCTAAAATCTAAAACCCCTGTCCTCGCATTTCCAGTTACCCGTAGTCACAACCCCGGACCTCCTCCGGAGGACATACCTCTCCCTGAGGAAGAGGAGGAGGGAGACTCCCCTGACTCGCAAAACCGGGACCAAAATTCTGCAGATGAAACCTCTGATACAGGACCCCAATCCAGACCAGGATCAAACAAAAAACCAAGCTAAAGGCCAAAAATACCGCCGCTTAAACCTAAAACACTTAAAGGATCTAAAAGCGGCTGTAACCAATTATGGCCCCACTGCCCCTTTCACCCTAGCCTTAATCGAAAGCCTGAGCGATAGATGGCTGACCCCTAACGATTGGGTTTCCCTGGCTCGAGCCACGTTAGCAGGAGGGGAGTGTGTCCTATGGTGTACCGACTTTGTAGAAAACTGCCGCGAGACCGCGCAGCGCAATAGTGAAAGTAAGACCTCTCGCTCATGGACTAGGGATAAGCTCCTTGGGCGCAGTCCCTATGACACCAATGAAGCTCAAGCAGCCTTCCCTCCCGGCCTTTTAGCCCAAATCCAAAACGCAGCCCTTAGGGCTTGGCGGCGCCTTCCGCCTAAAGGCTCAGCTAGCACCTCCTTAGCAAAAATTCGCCAGGGCCCTGATGAACCGTACAGTGATTTCGTACTGGTCAGGGAAGGAGAAACAGAAAGCGCTTTTATTAAACACCTGGCCTATGAAAATGCTAACCCGTCTTCCCAAGAGACTATACGACCCCATCGCTGTGGCAGTCTCTCTGATTATATCAAACTTTGCTCAGGTATAGGAACCTCCCATGCCATTGGACTAGCCATAGGGGCTGCGCTTAAGGACTTTACCAAGGAAAAGCAACAAAAAACTTGTTTTAATTGTAAGCAGCCAGGGCATTTTGCTCGTGAGTGCCCAGCAGGGACACAGTCCCGCGCACGCCCTAAAACAATTTGCCCTCAATGCCGACACGGCTTACATTGGGCCAATGAGTGTCATTCCAAAACAGACATGGAAGGTACACCACTTCTACCAAAACAGGGAAACTCCCAGAGGGGCCAGCCCCTGGCCCCATCATCAGAACAGAACCTAGGGATAGCCAGGTTCGTTCCCCAAGCTCAAACACAGAAACGTACCCTCCCCGCGCAGACATCAACTCCCTCTGCCGCGCCACTCCGGGAAGCGCAGGATTGGACCTCTGTTCCGCCTCCAACACAATACTAACCCTTGAACAAGGGATTCAACTTATCCCTACAGAGGCTTATGGACCCCTACCCCCTGGAACATTTGGCCTAATCTTAGAACGAGGAAGCTCTACGTTGGCTGGCCTCCACATTACCCCAGGAGTTATTGATAACGACTATACGGGACAAATTACTCTCCTGGCATCAGCCCCCGACAGGCCCTATATCTATCCAGAAAGGAAAAAGAATAGCTCAGCTCATACTACTCCCCTTAGATTCCACAAATAAAAGCAACAACAAGAACCCCAGATTAAATGCTGCCTTTGGCTCCTCTAATACCTATTGGATACAACAAATTACTCCTGAAAGACCTTTACTTACCCTTAAATTAGGTGGAAAATCATTTAAAGGATTAATTGACACAGGGGCAGATGCCACTGTCATTGCTGCGCATCTCTGGCCAACTTCTTGGCCCACTACAACTACTATAACTCACCTCAAGGGTATTGGCCAATCTACCAATCCTAAACAAAGCTCAAAGGTTTTAACCTGGACCGACGATGAAGGCAACTCCGGGCAGGTACAACCCTATGTAGTCCCCAATCTTCCTGTTAATCTATGGGGTCGTGATATACTATCTCAGTTAAAACTCATTATGTGTAGTCCTAATGAAGTTGTAACTCAATTAATGTTCAATAAGGGCTATCTCCCTGGGCAAGGACTTGGAAAAAACAATCAAGGCATCAAACACCCTATCTCAGTTGATTCCAACATTGATCGCTCAGGACTAGGAAGTAAAAATTTTTCATAACGGCCATTGACTTCCCTGTACCCCATGCAGACAAAATCAAATGGAAATCCAATTCCCCTGTGTGGGTAGATCAATGGCCTTTAACAAATGAAAAACTTTCGGCTGCCACTAGGTTAGTACAGGAACAACTGGCTGCCGGACATCTAGAGCCCACTACTTCTCCTTGGAACACCCCCATTTTCGTAATAAAAAAGAAAAGTGGGGAGTGGAGGCTCCTCCAAGATCTCAGAGAAATCAATAAAACTATGTTTACCATGGGAGCCCTCCAACCCGGCCTCCCCTCTCCCATAGCTATCCCAGCTAATTATTTCAAAATCATTATAGATCTTAAAGATTGTTTTTTTACCATTCCCCTGCATCCCCAGGACAGGGAACGCTTTGCATTCAGCCTCCCAGTCACTAACTTCAAAGGTCCAATGCAACGATATCAATAGAAAGTCCTCCCCCAAGGCATGGCAAACAGCCCCACACTCTGTCAAAGGGTCCCAAGCCATAGACCCTCTCAGGACACGATGGCCCTATATCTATATTATCCATTATATGGATGATATCCTCTTAGCAGGAGCTTCCACCTCCGAGGTACTCAAATGCAGCCAAGAATTAACCCACCACCTCACTTCCTTTGGGTTCCAAATCGCCCCTAATAAAATACAGCTTAAAGATCCCTACTATTACCTAGGCTTTGAGTTAAACTCCAATAAAATCACCACACAGAAAATTCAACTAAAAACCTCGCATTTACACACCCTTAATGACTTTCAAAAATTCTTAGGCGATATCAACTGGCTTAGACCTTATCTCAAACTCACCACTCATGACTTAAAACCCCTCTTTGATATTCTACAAGGAGATCCAGACCCATTGTCCCCCCGTACTCTCTCCCCAAAAGCAAGAGAAACTCTCCACATAATTAACAAAGCCATACAACAACAGCAAATAACATTCATTTCATACAATAAACCCTTCACCTTCATTATTTGTGCTACACCCCATACTCCCACTGGACTTTTATGGCAAGATAACCCCCTCTTGTGGGTTCACCTACCCTCTTCCCCATCTAAAGTACTTGTCTCATATCCCTCCCTAGTTGCTCTCCTCTTAAAAGTTGGCAAAGAAAAAAGCCGACACCATTTTGGCAAAGACCCTGATCAACTCATTCTTCCCTATACTAAGGAACAAATAAACTGGCTCTCACAGAATGAGGATGATTGGGCTATATCTCTCTCCTCGTTCCTGGGAAAGATTGATAACCATTATCCCCCTCATAAACTAATCCATTTTGCCCATTTATATCCATTTATATTTCCTAAAATCACCTCAAAAATACCACTAAAACAAGCTTCCCTGGTATTTACAGATGGATCCTCTAGTGGTATAGCTGCTTATATCATTGACAACCAACCTTATACCACCACATCCCCCTTCAAGTCCGCACAACTTGTTGAATTATATGCAATCCTCCAAGTATTCACAAAATTACCTAACACCCCCTTTAACCTCTACACCGACAGCGCTTATATAGCACTCTCAATACCCTCACTAGAAACAGTACCCTATATCAAGCCATCTACTAATGCAGTCCCACTCTTCCACCAGCTCCAGGCCCTTATCATAGCAAGAAATCTTCCCTTTTATGTAGGTTTTTGTTGTTTTTGCCAATTCCTTTCTGTTTAAGTTACTTGGATGAACTAATCTTACAAAATCTATTTTCTCTTGCATTGTGCAGCCTCTGATGTCCTCCTGAGGTTTTATTTCTGCCCCCCCCCCCTGTTTTTATAGATTGAATTTCTAGAGGATTCTCCTCAGCCAACATAAGATACATTGTCAAAGTTTTGGTTAAGCTCACTTCTTCAGCCTTATTTCCCCATTTGCCATTTTATTTTTGAAGCTTGGAGGGTGCTGTTGCATGACTATCCCTGTAGAAGAAAAACACACCTTTTTTTTCAAAAATTATTTCATCTCTTTTAATTGTTGATGTCTATGACCTATTTGGGATTAGGGAATTTCTGTTCTTCAATTAAAGACAAGAATTTGTCTATCTAGTCTAAGTTCACCTGATCTTTATCATTTCCTACTATTCAGTTATACATATACAGAGAAATGGAATTTTGTGGGTTTTTTTACACTATAGCATCCTCAGTATCTGGGGGATTGTCTGATTCGTAACATATGCTCAATTGTTGTTGAATGGATGGATTGGCATGCTTCACTATCCTTTTCTACACTCTTCTTATGTTGGGTGCTTGTCTCCTCTCATAAAGGCACTTATTGAAAATTACTGTAAATATTCAGATTATCAGTATGAATTTTCAAATATAAGACTTTAAAGCAAAGACTTTACTAAGTGTAAATTATTGTATTTTTGTGAGTTTGTCTTTTTTAAATTTTAAAGAAAAGTATCCCATTATCAAAGGCATTGTTCTTTCAGTCTTTTTCAGGTTCTATAACTATGTGGATGTCTCAGTTCTTGGACAGTTGCGTTTTATGTCTCAGAGGAGCTGCTGTTCTGACTAACGTGAGGTTTATGTGACAAGGGGTGTAAACTATAATATGCTACCTGGATTTCCCTCAAGGAATGAATCTCTCCAACTATCAGAACTTCCTGGAGACATATTTGGCTAAAGGAATTATCCTAACCAAAATCACAGCCTTTCAAGGAGCAGCCAATAGCCAATGACTGGTAAGAGTAGAGGTAAAAGTCCTGCCCCCTGACCACAGCTCAGGACTATTCTGAAGTGTGATCCAATCTCTACTGAGAACTTCATTTACACTGCATCAACTTCTCTTTCTATTTAATCCTGCTCCTTCCTCGTCTATGCTTTAGATATTGATTGAAGAAGCATACACTAATAAACATTGCGCATGCTAATCTGTGCCTCAGAGTGATCAGGTAACCTAAACTTCAACAATGCCCATTTATAGTTAAAATTGATTAAATACAAATTTTTCATTTTTATACAATGGAATATTATGCTGATTTTAAAATTAAGTGTATACCTACATCCAACTTTATTGCTACACTTATTCACATCTATGTCCATATAATATTTGCATCTACTTGTATATTTATGTATCTACACCTATATATATATATATATATATATATATATATATATATATATATAGTGTAGGAAAGATAATTTTGGTTAAAAATATTAAATACATAGTGCCATTAGTGGTTTATGCTGTATATTACATGGTTTGTATTTGTGGCATTACTTGCATAAATAAATGACAAAACTGTGAATATAATACTATCTATATACAAACATTCATGTTACAAACCATAAACATTTAAATAGTCTTGCTGAAGACTACATTTATAATGCAATTGACATAATGCAAAGACATATTAAAATATTTTCTAAATGACAATCCCAAAATTATAATTAACTTGTATCTTACAGTTTATCTCTATCATTATAATTTTTTAACTTTTCCATAGATATTTTAAGGATATCTGAAAATCTATTACTAAAGAGTGCAATGTAGGAAAATGGCAACAATGGAGACCATGTTCTAAAATGAAGTATTCAGAAAAGATTTACATTTCCAACAGGAGCAAAAGCAAAAGGATTTTATTACATGGATTAATATTAAACCGGTTTTGAAGGGACACATAAATATAAACAGTGAATCTATTTCAGGCTATTAACAAGTTGATATATAAAGCAATCAATTAGCATAGTCATGCCTCTTCTATTTGTAATACGGTGCCAAAGGCTACAGGGGATACCATCACATTCTGTACCATCATACAGTTTAAAAGTTCTTTGGCAAACTTAGTGTTTGTAAATGTCAGGACATCTATTCCATTCCAAAAACATGGCTGTGACAATGAAGATAAAGAGAGGAAATTTGTTCTAACTTATTCAGGACAATTATTTGATGACAATTTGTGAGAAGAAAGCCACAGCTTTTAAAATTAATAGATCAGCCAGCAATTTGGTGGGATTGGACAATAATTTAGCATAGCTATATTGAATGAAACTAATGCAAGAAAGGTATGAAATAGGCACTGCTTGTGGCCCCTTTCTTGTTGCCTGACTCACTGCTCTTGGCAAGAGACCATGTCCTTCAGTAGAGGCAAGGTCTTTTGATGGCCTAAAAAGCCCGCCTCCAAAACTTTTTGGCTCTGAGTAAGTCAGGGTTGGCTTAATCCTCTCACCTAGTATTGGTTGAGGCCGGAAGATATATTACAATACTGACCATGGAGATATGAGAGAAGG